CCACGCTGACCATCGTACTGTCACACACTCATTCACGAGCGAAGACTTCGCGTCGACGGTTCGTCACCTTTTTCCGATCGATTTCCACGCTGCTGATCCAGCAGAGAGACACTATTGATCAAATAGCTTCCTTGAAAATGATTGATGGCAATTTTCGCAAAGTTGATTTCGATTTTCAAGATTAAGTCATTAAACAGTGCCAAATTTGATAATAACGCCCTTTTCAAATACTTCATAAATATCGCAGCGATAATCCGACGAAATATATACAATATTTATAATTATCACAGATCTTAATATAATTATATCAAGCTATATAATAATTACAAATATTTTTTATGTTATATATAATTAAATATCATGAATGCTATTGTTTGTTACAAGCACACTGCTATTCGCTGTTGCTGGGCATTTACATCTGGTTAATCTGAAATTGAAATTTTCTTTAATAATAACGGACGCGAGAGTGTCCCTAAATCACAACGCAGCGATGATCAGTCGATCTCATCGTGACGACACGGAGGCACACATGTTGCCAGTATTACACAATAGGTGTTCCTCTTAGACCAAAAAAAAGTCACCCAACTGTTCATCCCCCTCCGTGAACCATAAGCTGGCCCGAGCTGGGGTGAGCCGCGCCTGATTGTTTCCAACAGGTTTGTCAGCTTTTGTTTCAGTCCGTTCTCATGCGCGGCGGAACTGGTCATTGCTCGAACCCCAAAAACGGTTGAACAATGACCCTTCACGGCCGTTACATTGCGCTGCAATAACGACCCCCATTACCCCGAACTCAATGAGAAAGAGAGATCTGGACGGGCTGAGAATTAATCCAACGAATCCCAACGGCAGTAGGATAGATGGATGATGAATTTAAATAACACGATGCGATCTTGTGTGAAACTAGGGTCTCTACATTCCCTCCCCCTCCCCTCTATTTCCGTTTCTCTATTGCCATTGATGAAGAGAAAGATATATATATATATAAATCTTTTTTTTTTTTTTTTTTTTTTACCAAGTTTATTTTATTATAAATTTAGATTATTCGATTTGTATGAATTCCTGTTGATTATCATTCATATGAATTTTCAATAAATATTAGATATATCGTATTTCTTAAATTTTATTTTTGTAAATTATTAAACAGAAAATAATAAACTAATTAGACTATTAGTTTTATAAAATAATATACTTAAGCAATGTTTTTCTCTTTGATAGAAACCATTTGGACGAAACGAAATTTACTCGAAATGTCTTACTCGACATTGCGCGATGAAATTTCGAGAAACGTCAGTTCGTTCTGGATTCTTCAAATAACTTTCCGCGCATTTTATGAACGGGAGCTTAATGAGACAAATTCGTAAGGGTTCTCAGATCTTACTAACAAGATGTAGATGGTATTGTTCTTTACGTAATCCTTCGTCTAACCGAAGGATCTTCGTCGCTTAAAAATCTACTTTTGTATGCTTTATTTATGTGCATGGAAATCGACGGAAATTACGTTAACCGTCTGCTCATAATCGCCGTGACTTGACTTATACTTCATAATGCTGCACGTCTTATGACATTAGTTTTATTGCCTCATTCTTATACATGGAACACACTATGAGTGTTTTTGCGGAATTACATGCTACTTGGACATAAAATTATTCCAAGTTTATAACTTCTTTCAAATAACAGATATATAGTATATATAAATAACAGTGTTTTAAAATAAACGTTTTTATTTAAAAATACTTTTGCGAATATATATCGCGCGATATGATAACTTTAGATTTGTATCACACTTGTTTTGTGCCGCGAAAAAAAAGTTGAAAAATCTAGCGCGATACGAAACATATTTCTCTCTCTTCGAGCAGAGGTTGAGTTACACTGAACGAACGGTTCCCTTTTGCGTATTTTCGGAGACAAACCGACGAATCCGCAAATTAAACAAACACCCTATTGACGCGCTGATCCTCCGCCAAGGATCCTCCGCATCCTGGCTCATTCGCGAGGGTGAGAAAGACAGTGGAGAAAGAAACGATTGCCACCTCCACGAGGCCTTCGTTCAGCGGATAAGAAGGACGAACGGAGAGAGACAGAGAGACCTGGCAATCCGAATGAACGGACTACACCGCATACAGGGTCTTAGCAGGACTTAACGAATATTGCCGTCGATATCCAGAAGTCCCCAATTCGACACTGCTCCCTTCGAATGTCTTTTGTCCCTCCACGCGTCACGGATCTTCGTTCGTCAATTCTTGGGTTATCAAGTTAATTTCGTGAACCTTATCTTCTTCATACCAATATCTTACATCAGATACGAATCTCAATTTTATTTTATTTTCCCGTAGTTGCATGAACAATTTTTAAATTTCTCATCTTTTCAAGATATAAATTATAGAAAAATCTATAAATATTTATATCGCGTTTAATGGTTTTGAAAAATAATTTTGCACAAGTTTAATATATTTTATGTGACGTAAAAGCGTAATATTTTGCAGAGTAATACCAGAAATTTATATATATATATATAAAATATAACAAATACATAGTTGTATAAATCGCATATATTTTAAGGCATTGAAAGCAATATAAACATGTTTCTGAAACTATAGATTTATTGCAAATTATTACATCTCTTTTCTTCTCTTTGTTGTCTTTTATAGAAAAGACAATATATTTAGTTATCGCGTGTGCAATTATGTTAAAACAAGACTATGAGGGGTGCGCTTGCACTTACTTGCGTAAATTAAAGCGAGGCGGATTCTTCGCTACATTACGGTTGTCTTTCGCGTATGTATCGTAGAAGGGTCGAAAATGTCCAGACGCGGAGACCAGAAGGAGCCAGACGACAACCCAGATAAATTAGTGCGGGTAATGAAGACTGAGCCTCGTGTCTGATTAAACAAACACAGAGAAGCGCAAATAAGTGAGAGAACGCCGGGAAGGCGAAGTGGAAAGAAAAGGAGAGTCTGAAACGTAGAATGATAAAGGAAGGAACGAAGAGAGAACATGGCGCAAGAAGAATCTGTGATTCCTCGGACCTTTCTCTCATTTTACTTCCAATTAACTTAAGCAGACTCAGTAATACACTGCGTCCAAGTTATTGTCCGCCATTCTTTCTTCGCCTTTCGTTCGCCTTTTTCCTTTCGTTTCCTTTGCTCGCTGAACTATGATGTAGGGAGAGAAAAATTTATTCCCTGACAATTTAAGTTGGAGAGAATTCCTAGTTTAGTATAGAAACCTTATGATATAAAATTTATCTTGAATGAAATTATCTTTGAGACTTATCCTAATAATAATTGCACATATAACATACGGATTTAGCGCACTTTTTGTGATCGATGTTTTCTTCGAGAGAATTTCCGCACATTTTCATAATTAATTTGCGAATTTAAGTGAATTAATTAAAGTGAAGTTCTTTTGCACATTACGATATTAATTTTTATAAATATTTTACTACTGTTTAGGAAGGTCAGCAAAAAAATCGACGACAATGCACGATCGCTACTGTCATCCTTTTAATGACACTTTCTCCATTTCTCTTAATATTACTTCTAAAAATAAATTTTTTTACGGATCTCCGATTCGTCATCGGTTGATCATCATCTCATTAACATATTTTACGATCCCTTTCCCCGGTCTAAATCGAGAAATTCAAACAGAAGAGGGACACGCCAGGTGTCAGGCGCGTAACGCACTGTACCACGTACGGCGCCAGATCGTAAATTTATTTATAATCCTCGCACTTTTTTTTTTTAACTGTCTAACATCGTGGCGAAGAATTAGTGTCCGCGGATACGACGATCTCGTTCGAGTGGGACAAGGATGACGCTGATGAAGAGGGGGAAAAAAAGGAAGAAATCGCGAGACGTTAATAATTATTGTCAAACCGGCCGAATCGAGCGTCGGCGACGACGACGCTGTTCGCCGGCAAGGACGTTCAAGTTTAAATAAAAATAAAAATTCCCTCGCGAGCACCAATACACTAATTATAGAATGCGCTCATCTCGAACGGCTGAATCGCACATACGGTTACGTCGGCGCCCGGAGTCTGGATTTTTCTTCTCCGCGACGATGGTTATACGAGCGCGCGTATCGGGATACGTCGAGAGAGGTTACTCGTCGACCGATAAATCGCGGAAAATTAATATCGTTTTTATCGGCGGCACAAGGTAATTAGCTGCGCTGGCTCTCGGCAAGAACGCGAACGCAGGCATGATCGAGGCGATTTCGTTCGCGTTCTGATCAAGCCGTTGCTTGGAAAGAGTATTAGTGATTTAAGTCGCAAGAAGAATTTTTTTTAACATACATCACGTTTTTATATTCGATCTCTGAATATTAATTTTCTTAAAAATGTTAATTGAGGCTATAGAGAACGTAATGTCGGCATTGAGCTTAAATTTCGCGAAAATACTCAATAATTCGTGACGAGATAACGTTTTCATGAGATATATTCTATCTATATACCTCGAAACTGAAATTTCCCGAAATTGCATTCGGTTTCACTGTCTGCTGATAAATTTATTCTCTAATAGACCGCGAAGAGGAATTTTATATTTTGGGAGATGAAAGATGTGTTTGAGCGCGAGATTTAGGTCGTGTTAAATGAGAAGTCACATATATATGTGTAAGTAACTTAAATGAGAGTTGATACACATATGCACACGCATTATATACATATAAAAGAAACTTGTAAATGCGCATTTTTAAGAAACGAAAGCGCATAAATATTTTAACGGACAATCATAAATAAGCGTCCGCGTCGAAAAAGAGAGAGAGAAAGAGAGGAGAGACGAAAGCTTCATTCATTTTCTCTTTTGTCTTTTTATAAGATTCTCGCGTGCTCATAGAACGCGCGCGCGTTATATTTATTTTTCGTTTTCTTGCATGATTAAATTTCTAGATAAAAGATCTGGCGCGCGTGCGAGACGTCTCGCGCGTGCAAATTTATTCAGTCTCCGTCTACTTTCGAATTCGACATCGTCGTTTAATGCAAATTTTTTTTTGCGTTTTAGACTCATGCGAAGGATGTGACGTCAGCGATGTTCGCAGAATGAAGGTCGTGCTGATCGCAGAACGGTGAGTCACTGATTAATCAACATAGCCGTCCCCTATCCCAGCGATAATTATTTAACTTGGCAATCGAAGTAATTACCGCTTGTATTGACACACCTATCCCATTTCACATATATATACGTGCGCGTGTGTGCACGCAGTTATCTTACGCGTAGATCGGCGTGCACCATTAGAATGACTGTCCGACGTATCTGTCACTGCCAATCAAGGTGGTCTTATTCTTAAACTGATGTGCATAGAGTTTCGCGGTGGATTGTGATCGCGAAACGTTACACGAACGATAATGCTAATAATATATTTCAGCCGAACGCAAATAGTATGTCACTGGACGAGAGAAGTCTTAAAATGATAACGTGTAACAATGACAACGATCATTGTCATTTTATGGTTTATTTTCAGACTTGAAATCCGAGAGAGTCGCGCACACAATTAGCGCGATTCCTTTTAATACAATTTATACAGAAATTTTCTTCACTTTCCTTTAATTATCGCAATCGTAGAAATATAATAGAAACGAATTTTAAATACACCCTTTAATTTCGTGAACAAAGAAAGGTACGTGTCATCGAAAGAAGAAAAAAATGACACGATGAGCGCAAAAAGGTACTTTATAGAAATACTAAAATATACTCTACTCAAATATATCTATTAAAGTTAATATTATTTATAAAATTATTGCATCCATTAAACACATAATTTTACACACGGAGAAGCATGTTTCTCTCCTCTGTGCTATCGAATGGGTAATATATAGTTGAAGTGTATCCATGTGTGCAAAGTAAATGATCGTAAAAATTCCGAATTTTGCGAATATCGGCGTAGGCAGACGGGCATAATTTATATTCGAAAATCCTTTACACGATATATCATACTTGATTTCGGCCAAGTCCTCCGCTTTCCCGGAAAATTAGCTATTAACATTGCGCCTCGTCTTTCTTCCGAGATTGCAATTAAAAGAACATTACATATACACATGCACGTCGATTCGAGCGAGTAGATCCAAGATGGTTCTCAGGACTGATTTAACACGAATACAATAAGCGATCCAGCGCCGCGGCTATTATATCTAATTCCATTTGAATAGAAAAGGGAGTCCGCGTATATCGTCTTTTAAGGAAGGACGGAGAAGGAAAAGAGAGATAGCTAGAGAGCAGGAGGGATACCACACGCGCGGTGCCCTGGAGCGACGCGGAATCACTCAGAGAGCGCCGGCTGTTACTTCATTTTTGCGGAGCGTTTACAACGTCCTGTCCACTCGCGTGGCATCGTTGCTGGCATTTCGATGCATAATAAACGACCGGTTAGCCCTGCGCTCACCACGGCTCACACCTCTGCTCCCTCTCTACGAGAGGACGACGACGACGAGAGAGAGGACTAAAGGGACTTCTCTCTCCGCGTCGTCTCCCTCATCTTCTCCCTTCTCGTTCAACATCCATAAGCTGGATGCACTCCGACTTCCTTTGTGGACTTTCTTCCTCCGCGAGGTGCATCTAACGAGATGCGGAGAGGAATGAGAAAAGCGTACGATGCAAACGAAGAGAGACGACACGCGTGTCGAGAGAATATTCGATGGCAAGAGGGAAAGAGAGATGGAGAAAGGGTAGAGGGAGGAGAGAGAGAGAGAAGGAAAGCCGTTACGAAGTTTAACGAAAGGAAATCCGATTTGCACAGCGCGCGCCGTTCTCTTCTCCTGTCTCTCTGCCTAACCGCGTCCGATTCTCGCGTACACGCACGAGATGACACGCTTCGCGCGAGCGATGTCGTCCCAGGATATGTACTTTGTATCTTCAGTTTCTTGGATGTCATATAGTTTGTCTAGAAGTTGTCAAAGAGAACTGGCGTCTGATTAATATTTTTTTTAATTTTCATAATTTACAATTTTTCTTCGCGAACATTGGATTTAACAGAGAAAAATATTTTTCACAATATATATAGATAATTATATGGAAGATGTTATTTAATAAATTTTAAATATAGTGGAATAAATTACGCTATCAAATAATTCTATATTTTTTTTTTTTTTTTAGAAAATAAGTTTAATAACAAGTTTTTATAACCGTGTGAAATGTTCGCGAAAACATGCAGCAAAATCGATGATTGTATTCATCCGAAGGACACTATAAAAAAACTGGAACCAGCATGTGGTGAAACGATTATTTGCGCAATCCATTCATAATGGATATGAAAGGGTGATTCGAATTCAATCTCGCGAATGAGTTCCATTTACTGCAATTACTGCAAATTATTGTGGTGCAAGATTTGCGGATTTGCATTGCGAGAAAAATTGAAGAGACAACGTATAAAAATGTAACAATAAAAATAAGATTTTTTTGGTATATAAAATCTATGAAATCTATATTTATATATTACATATCGAATATTATACATTATTCTTTAATTAATTGAATAATTAATAATTATATAACAAAATATATTTAATATAGAAAATAATGAACATAAACTCGTGATATCTTTACTAAAAAAAAAAAAAAAGACTGAATTTTAAATTCGTTAAAATTTGTATGATAAAAGAGAAAAACAAAAATTCAAAAATATATATTTTTACGAATAATATACTCGTTAACAAAGGGATACAAAAAGAGGAGGTCGCATAAAGATTACTGATGTGTTCCGACTAGTTAGAGCTTTTGTAGCTACCCGAAACCGAATGTACTCCGATCGCGGTACCAAATCGATGGTAGACATGCCACCTGTGTGACACGCCGCGAAAAAGTGGAAACGGCGTGCATCGGAGCGATTATTTGCACCGCGCGACTATAATGGATACGGAAAGGCCGGTTTGAATCCGCTCGAATGGGCGTATGAATGGTCGCCGTTTAGCGTAATTATTGGCGCATTGTCTACGGCACAATGCCGGGCGCGAAATTGGCATGCAAAAATCGGATGCGATCCCATTGTCGGCTATTGTCCGATCCCAAGCTACCGCCGCATCGTTGCACCCCCGCCCTTTCTCCGTGTGGCCTCAGTTTTCGAATATTTCGTCGTTTCGATTCTCTCGATTCTCCAGCATCGTCGATAGATTTACGCGGGCTGAAAGAATTTCCCAACGATCACAGTAAATCTCGAATGTATATATGTGTGCTTACGAGCGTAGAAAAAACGTGACTGTTGAACCACTAAAGTGCTTTCGTACTGTAACGTTCGGGGAAAAGAAAAACGTAACACGAAGAGAAATTCTGAATTATTCTCATTGATAAATTAGCAAATGTTTAATAATGCTTTAGACATTTGGTTTTTACGAGAATTTCAATTGAAATATTTATCTAACAATAAAACAATTTTTACGACAAAAAGATACATTCTGATATAAATATGCCCCTTTGTTTATATAAAAAAATTAATAATAATTCTGATAAATTGCTTAAATGATACTAACATATGTGTCTCACGTACTTGTGCGTATAACATAAATACACTTAAAAAATTTTGCATATTTAATTTAATTCTGTTACGCAGATGACTAAGAAATTTTTCTATGTAATTCGATTTTTTCGCCACTTTTAAATTTATGTTGCGAATGTAATACTTATTTCTCTCGTCTTCGGAAGAGAGCTAGATTTGTATAGAGGTTGAAGAGGCCGACCAGTAAATTTTGTCGGTTATTAGGCAGAGATGGTTCGGCGGCTTGGTTCCGGCTCGTCCTGAGAGCAACCACGAACTTTTTGTGCGGCCAGATTGGCGGCCATTATGCTCACGAAATTGGGCCTTAATTGTGCCAGCGGTAATGAGTCGGGTTGCTCTAATGCATCGGCACCAGCCAACCACAATACATAGTATCTTACGATACCATGCTATCCTTGCTATAACGGGTGACCGTTTTTAGCTATTTCTTCATTTCTATTCTAAACGTTATATATATATATTAATTATTTTTTATATTTATTAAAATATCTATCTCATTATATAGTGTTTTAAATAATCAATATTTAATAAATAATAAATAATTGTGAAATAAAAAAATTGAAACCAAAACTGTTATATTGACGGAAATGATCGAAAAGGCATTGTTTATATTCATATTTAATAATATAATTTTTATAATATTTGTTCATCGAATTTTTGACAAAATTATATTGTGTATGATCTTATTTATGATAATATTTAAATTATTTGACGCATTATATTAACGAATGTCTGCAAAAATATAATAGAGATTTTTGGGACACCCAGTAGAAGAAAAGGACGGTAGGGAATGCTACTATGTGGCGACGCGGCATTATTTAATTGCTCTTCCGTTGTTTTTTCGTCGCCAGATAATTTGTGTACCTGGCGGCGATCTCTCTGTTTCCCCGTGTCTTTCTTCTCTGTCTATCACTCTGATTCTGCGTCTATTCATTCTCGAACAGCTAGATGTTCTTCCTCCACCTCTGTCTCTCAGCCTGATACGTCTCATCTCTTCTCGCACAGAGTTGTCCCTCTTCCATCAGTTTATACCGTTTCTGTATAGCTTTAGTCATCGGTAAAAGAGAGAAAAAGTTGGTAAAAAAGGATAAACAGGTGAAAGAGAAACAAACAATGTAAAGGCCGAAAGCTTGAGAGAGAAGGTACAGTCGGCCTACTCCTAATTGCATGTAATTACCTATGGAGGCCAATTAGCTCAGATTGGTCGGACGATCCGCAGCTAGCCCGGGGACTTCAGGCTCCGGACAGGATCTTCGTGCCTCTTCGTCTTGGATAAACTCACGCGAAAGTAACCAGAAATCGTCTTTACTTCGAGGATTTCCTAAGCGAAAAACGAACGGTTTTTAGAGTAGAATGTTGCACAGATTTCTTTGAATAACGCGGATTTGCGTCGAATTACTCTAAAATATTCTCTCACAATTTATACGAAACTGTATATATTTATTTTTTTTATTTCTTATTTTAAATAATGTCATTCGTAATATTTTTATCCATATATTTTTTAATCTTATTCATATTACTTTTAATAAAAAGTAAAAAAAGTGTCAAGTTTACGCCTCTATGTCTAGAACATTGTTATACAAAAAAGTAATTATTTAATGTACATTTTATTTCTTCAAAACAATAATTCTCAAAAAATAATTAAAAAGATTGCTTCAATGTAAATTCTATCGCTTAAATGTGTTTTTTCTACAAAAGTTACACAAGAATAATTGTAAGATTATTATTTCTTCTATATCTATATATATCTTCTTTAACAGAGAGTGACCTCTTTATATATCTGCAGTGTGTGTGCTATCCTTATCATTTTTTCCACAGAAATACAATCTATAATTTTTTAATCCAAACGGTTAGATTAGAGGCATGTTCTGAGGACAAGATACTTACAGTAGTTTGTTGTTTGCTCCTACCGAAAGAACGGTGATCGAATAAAACCTAAAATTTCTGGTCAGATTTGAACTCGGTCTTCACCAGCAGTAGAAGGCTGACTGACGCACAGTCCTCTGCGCCACGGTTGCACATACAACACTGAACACAAAAAAGCTACTATAGCTACATTTGAACCTTCCTATATTACTATCTGAATTTTAATTATCATGCCTAAATTTTAGCTATGGCAATTATTATTTTTTAGCTATAGTTTAACGGAGAATGCTATAGCTAAAAAACATTATTTATCATAGTTAAAAGTTAGACATGATAATTGTGTTTCATGTTTAATATAGGAATAGTTAAACTTTAGCTACAATATAATTTTTTTCCGTGGTTTATTTATTTGAGTATTATTACTACTATTTTAATATTTGAGCTATTATGTTATAAATATATTTTTTATATTTATAAAAGGCATCCTGATAATCATGCATATATTAATATGCCTATTTATAGTAATCTATAAATAAAAATATTTGATTATATTTTTCATTCTTCTGGTGACTTAATAATTATATTCATAATAAGACATTTATAAAACTTGCTCTTAGGAAATTTTTTGCATCTTTTCTACATTGATCAAGAATGTCTTGAATGGCTTGGAGACTAAAATTGTCCTATTGCCGCTTCTATATATCAGAGTTATTAATGGTGGCGATGTTTTTTTTTAGAATGCTTACGATATTTTATAATGCTATACTGTTTATCCGTCGCGCTATAATTACGAGCAGTCTAATTATGAGACCAACACTGTCCACTTTGCTTTATTTTTACTGCCGTTTCTCATAGCATCAAGATGAATACACCTGCGGCACTTGCGTTCGCGTGCATTTGCAAATAATTGCACGCACATCCATAGCCGTTCCCGGAACACGCATGTAATGAGCAATCAACGGTCGATTTCCTCAGCTGAGAGAGCAGTAACTGCTTCATCAGCGCGGAAATGTATCCAGCATGACGTAGATTGCGTTATCACTTTGCAAATCGAAAATCAGACGCTGCTTAACTACATCATTGCACATACGCCATCATGCACTTTCGTCATGCTTTTTTATGGCGATAATTTTACGTCTCAACGCGTTAATAGATTATATCCTAGACAAGCTGGACATTTTTCAAGAGAACAGGTACAAAGATAAATCTAGATAATAATTGTGGATTAAATAATAGAACCCTACCCATGTCGCTCGTTTCTTTTATTGAGTCTTTAATCTATTCAACTACCCAACCTTTGAAACTTATTTCAAGCAAAAATTTTTCCGATCTTTTCTATTATTTTGAAAATACCTCAGATATCCCTCCGTTTAAGTATAATGAAATTCATTATGTGAAACAAATTTAAAATAAAAAATTCGTTTCCGTTGGTCCCTTTCACGAAAGGATCTATTTTAATCTTTGTTTGTGTAAAATATTCGTTTATAAAAGAATTTCCGTCCGTAAAAGAACATCGCATCATAAACTAGGCACAATGCACAAAATGGTGGTTGTCGAATTTTTCTTTATGTGGTTGAATTCATTTATTCTACATCACACCCCAAAATTGTAATTTATCATGATACAATTAGATCGATTGTAATTTATCATGAAATTGTAATTTATCATGATACAATTATGCTCGATCAAACTCGATATGCGCGATCAAAAATATCTTTAATTATTTTACTCTATATTCATATGTATTTATAATACATGTTGAATTAAAATATTAAGATTAAACTTTTATTTTTAATGAATTTTTTTTAAACAAGCTGTTGCGACTTTTTTATCAATGATTAAAAGCTTAAAAAATAATTCTTATATTACACTTTACTTATTATTAAAAATTTTCGTTTATTGTAAGAGTATTTTTTACTCCCAACGGTTTCAATTTTTGCGTCTTTTGTTTCGTAATATATATTAATATTCTGAGATATAAAAATAAAATCGTCTGCAAATTACCTTAAGAATCTTCTATTAACGGGTGGCACGTTAAATCTGGAACCCTGTATAGTAATATTTAATATTTTAGAAAAACTGACTTAAAACGTCTTGGTTGGAACTAAAAATGTTTCGAACCGTTTAATTGATCAATCAGAAAAAGAAACAAAGATTTTTTTCAGAAATAAATATTTTTATCGGCTCTCAATATAAATAATATAAGTATGCTGTCTTCTAAGCTGGGCAATAGAGCCAAGGAAACGAAACGAAAAATTAATTAAACGGAACTGTATCTCAATTTGAGATCCCAAAGTTCCACATATAAATTAATTTCGAAACTTACATATGGAGAAATAAGCGAGAAAAATATAGGTACGAAAAGTCGCCGAAGCTTCCCGCTTGAAGCGGGAAGCTTCGGCGACTTTTCGTACCTATATTTTTCTCGCTTATTTCTCCATATGTAAGTTTCGAAATTAATTTATATGTGGAACTTTGGGATCTCAAATTGAGATACAGTTCCGTTTAATTAATTTTTCGTTTCGTTTCCTTGGCTCTATTGCCCAGCTTAGAAGACAGCATACAAAGATTTTTTTGTTTTCACAGCATCTAACAAAACATATATTTCTAGTGTCAAGAGAAAAACATTTTCTTTTTGTTGCAAACGTTGATTACTTCTTTTTTTGTCTTCGGTTAAATTAATCATGATTTTGTAATTTTATTCTAATTTCATATTTTATTTCGAACATATTAAATTTCGAATATTTTTATAGTATACTTGCTTTCTATAATATTGTACATTATTTTTTATTGTAAATTTGTTTCCAAATATTTTTTTTAAATTAACAAATATTTATTGAAAAAAAAATATTTGTCATAATTTTATTACGTTAAATTCAAATCTAATAAAATTGAAATGCAAGTACAAATTCAAATACATACGAGCTAATTATTTTATAAATGTTTAAAAAAACTTGTGAATAAAGATATAGTATATACTATCCATTATTTTTAACGTTACAACAAACCTTAATGCATAATGCCCGTGACAGATGTTTAATTGTAATTGACACGTCATAGGCCGCGAAATTTTTATCAGCGTACATTTTTCAGGAGGTATATATTAGATAAAAGATTGCGATTGGTTGCAACAAAATTTTCTTACAATTAAACAGTATTCGTTGCTATCCAGTCGTTGTTGATAAAAATTGCTGAGCATTTATAGGCATCTACAGTTTACTTCGAGCAATTAATCGTCTAGGGAAAGGATTTTAAACGAGTTTATCGTTATTTTTATTTCTGAAAGGCAGTCACTTTTTGAAATTATAGTGTTGTATACACGTAAAAAGAGCATTTCTCAATTTACAGACTTTATGATAATCTTGTTGGTCTATTTGCGTTTGCAAATTGCAAAATTTGCTTAATCAAAAAAAGTCAAATTGCGTCTCAAATCGTTATTTCTCTATAAGGTCAAAGCGCCCCAGAATTTTCGAAATTCTCAATAAAGGAAATTAACGAGATCAATAGATATAAAAGATCCTTTGTTATCCTAATGTATCTACATACCAGGAAAAAATACGCACAGCGGTGTATCTGTCTGAAAAATTCCTTTTTCCCCTTATTTTCAAGCGTGAGAAAGAAGTTTCACACACAAAAGAAAAGAACTCAAGATTCTTTAACTTTAAAATTATTATTAAAGATAATCAGGTGGTAGGACCTAATCTCCGGTTAATTATTTAAAAATAATCTACTGTATTGGTCAGTCTTATGACTTACGATTCATGATTCTATTGTAAATGAGACCACTATCTGGTCTGCGTTTAGAAACCTCCCTCTCTTTCTATATCACTGAAATAGAAAAGACATAAGATCTGTTCGTTTTGACTACACTGGCTACACTAGTTCAGAGGTTGTCTTTTTTGCTCGATGTTGGAAGGAAAAAGATAACCTCTGAACTAGTGTAGCCAGTGTAGCCAAAACGAACAGACCTATAGAAAGAGATTGAATACACTTGGGAGATGATTCCGAACGCAGTTCTCCTACTTCTTAAAGCTATTTTTTTAAATACCTAAATTTTTCTTTCTGTCATCAGAAATAAAAGAACTGATTTTTATAGAGTAAAACAAAAAAGGGACGGATGACAAAAAACTGTGTATATATAGACTGCATTCACTGACAGTTACTGAAATTCTATAGTTCACGTCACGTACTATAGATTTTCAACGTCACTATAGATTTTCAATACTGGCAGTAAAGAATTGGAACACAGTCGTAATAGTTTAGATATGAATCTAAAATTAATTATACTAATAATCGGAAACAAATTCTTCAAATAAAAGATTTAAGCATTAATCTTTTTTTTCTCTAACCTTCTCTTAACCTTTCTTAAAAACAGGTGTTTCCAATCTACTTCATTACAATATAAAAATTTTATGCGTGAGAAGAAAATACGTATAAAAGATTTCCAGCACCTAATCGCCCTACGTATCGTGTACGTAGAGAGGGAAAGACGAATAGAGAAGTCTTATTGGCTGCATTCAGCAGGCAAGCATTTTTACAACTGTTGTAAAATTCGTGAATCTGGTGCCTTCTAAAATTCGTGAATCTGATGCATCTTAACTGAATCTAAGAGCATGCACTCTAATCAGATTCACGAATTTTACAACAGTTGTAAAGCAATTTTTTTCTGAGTCATTAGTTTGTGATCCTTGTAATAATTAATAAAAAATTAATTAAAAAAGACCAATCCACGCGACTACACTATGCTTGGCGTGAACAGACAGTTTAATGTTTCGTGGTTACTAGACACGTGACGAAGTATTGCAGAATTAATAATCAAATTTAATTATACCTAACAATGCGGTGTAACAATAGAGTACCTCTTCTCGCCGTGTATTCGCGCGAATTGGTTCATCTTTTCTAATTAATCTTTTATTAATTAATTAATTATTTAAATTAATTAGATTTCTTAGAGCTATACACTTTTTTTTTTAAATTATATTTATCCAATTTTTCGCAAATATAAATGAAAGAATAAATGCAAAATTGTACTTAATAATTTATGTATACGAGCTCAAGCTAAAAATTTCAAGATCTCAATAATAAAAGGCATTGAAACGCTCGAAGACATTTTCAATGCATAATACATATATATGATAAAGACTATAT